CAGGCCGCAGCTTGGCCCAGAAAGCTTTTTCTATGGGCTTCCGAAGGCAACGTTAGAGACCCACGGGCCCTACTGCGTCGGCATCACTCCTGCACTGGCCAAACAAAGGCCGCAGCTTGGCTCAGAAAGCTTTTTCTATGCCGCAGCTTGGCCCAGAAAGCTTTTTCTATGGGCTTCCGAAGGCAACGTTAGAGACCCACGGGCCCCGCCCCCAAACCCCTCTCGGCAGCTGGCAGGCCTGCCTCTTCTCTTGGCTTGTCCCAGGCAACGAAAGTCCGTAGTGTAGCCTAAGCCCGGGTAAAAGGAATCAAGAATACAGAGTCTTGAGCACATAGCCGGTGTATGCTTATAGCAATCCCTGTCCGGCTTCTGGTCTTCCAGCTCGTGCCCCGAGAAAAGGGGTCGGCGGCACCAGGGCGGAGCCCTTACTATAAGACAGTATATTACTTTATATATGTTATTATATATTAGTATGAATTGACGCCTATGACGCCTATATACGTTGTATCTACATCCAGCGCTATCCAACGTCTCCAGCCCGGCGCCGGCCCGGCCTTCGGAAGCCACACCGGAGGAGCGTCCAGCAGGGCGCCCCGTCCGAAGAGATGGACCAGGTCGGTGCCTGGGCTTCGGTCCCGAGGTCATGACCTGGTTCCAGGTCTAAAGTCTAAATATGTAATTAGTATATAATAAATAGTATTTATATAAATCATATATATATATATATTATATATATATATGTATGACTTATATGATTTATATGATTAAACTATATGTATGTATTGCATGTGTGTTTCTTTCCTTCGGTCTTTGGGCGAAGGGTGGGCGCTTTTTGAAGGGGGTTGAGAGGGTGAGAGATGAGGAGGGATGCGTTGGAGTTGGAGATCAAACTAATGGAATTGGAAATTAAAACAGTACAATCTCTCCAAGCCCATGATGCTGGGCAACAGACTGTCAGTGAATGATGAGACTGTTAGTAGAGGCCTTTCTCTGAACATGTGATAATTGTCTTACCAACTGTTCCAGGTACAGTACTAGGACAAACCCAAGGTCAATCCATGTCTATCCTCTTCGCGCCAATGTGTACCCTGTCTGTCGTGGCCGATGCTCAACCTGCTCCAGCTCCAGCCGAATCCATCGGCCGCCCATCCACCCTGTTCCAGGCGGGACCGCCCGAGCGGCGGAGGAGGCATCCGTCGGGCAAAAGCCTCGCACGCTTCGCGCGACCGGTCGCGCCGGTGCCGAAGGGGACGAAGGTCGCGTCCGTCGCCCCGACGTCTGGGACGGACAGCGACAGCGACGTGAGCACATGTCGAACGTCATCGAAGATCATCGAGTCGCATGCACACGGCCCCATGCGTCTGCCCAGAAACAGAAAAGGCCATGGAAACCCAAGAATACATGTGTTATATGGTTGATGGGCAATGTCCTGTGGACCGTGGGAGCTTAGCAAGTGGTTGACTCCGGACTCATCAGTGATGTCTATATACTACACCTATAGAGCTATGAGATTTCATTCCGAGATGTTCTTCCTACTGCACCACCTTCAACTGCCCAAGGGGAAGGTGGATCCGCTGTAGAAATGCATAAGGGATCTGACCAATTGTCAAAAAACACACACCTAGCGTCCGATGGGTGTCCAATGGACTACCCCATACTACTTCGGGATCTCCATTATACACCCTGACAGGATGGTTCTGGTACTTCCTGGTACTCAGCAACAACACCTGCCAGGCAGCTCATCCTGCAAATCACCACATCGATCGACTTACCTCGACTCCCAGGACATCCTCCGCCGGTCCCCGCAAACTTTTTCTCAGTATAAACAAGACCTCCAACAAAAATGGAGCCTCAAGTAAATGGAGTCCCACTTCTTCCGCGTGGTTGATCAGGAAACACGCGCGGCCACTTCCAAAAACATTAAACAAATCATGGGTTAACCGGTTAACCATGTTTACATATGTTTCCCGGGGAGGACATTGCTTTTGTTGGTGAAACGCAGCTTTCACAAAACAACAACTCCAAAACACATAACAAGAAACATTGTCCACAAAACAACGCCTCATGTCATGTATCCATAAAGGTTAAACATGGTTAAACGGTTAAACATCCCTTTGTTCTGGATCTGCCCCTTTTTCCTGCCAAGAAGGCTTCTCCTTTGCTTCGCTCACCGCAAGGCGTGGCCTCCCTCGGCTCCCGCCTAAGAGTATCGCCATCGCCCGCGGAAGCGCCCAGGACGTAGCTGGCTGCCAACATGGCCTTCGATGCAGAGCACTCACTCCGTGAAGTTCATTGAGCGAGGTGCCAAGAGCTCTTTTTTTGAGACTTATAGAATAGGAGCCTGTACGGAGTGGGCTGTTTGATGTCTCTTGGTTGTGCCCCGACACATGTGGCTTGGAGGAAGGAAACAATGGATGAGACGAGTTCGTCCTTAGCTTAGTCCGCTTGCACACTGCCATTCTTCTTTGGGAGGGCTCTGAAACGCCGCTGGCGCGACGCTTCACAAAGGGCAGCCCAGGCTTCACCCGACTGACTCGCCGGCGTGGGGTCCACAAACCCGGCCGGGAAGATGGAGTGGCGACTTTTGGGTGCGGCCCAGGCACTGCAAGGTTTGGACCCGTTCGGCACTCCGTCTGTATGCACCGACATGAAGACCCCTTTTCAACCACTCCAATCTATAGACCGGTATACATATTCCATATACATAGAGTGTCTGGGAGATGTATGTGAACACAGAAGAACATGGACCACCGATATGGATCCCATAGGAGTCACTCTCTGAGTAAAGGGTGCCAAGGAGTATCTCCGGATGGCATCGGTTTGAGATTGTCCTCTAGTTCCACCAACCTACTACATTGGGTGATGCCACGTTTGATCAAATCTCTGAAGATATAGGCAAGAATCAGGCAGGGCCCGGCAGGGCCCAATCAACATGCAAACAAAACTTCTGCAAGAAACTTGTGAACAAAAACCAGGTGTTGCCGGTGTTGCCCACAGATTCCGACCATCTGTAGACCATCCAAAAAAACAACGTCGGACACCCAATCCGACTTGGATCCACTTCCAACAGACCAAGCTGCAGCACAGGTGGCGGCCAACACCGCCAACTTCGGCCTCGGAGGTGAAGGGCGTGTGATGCACCGCGCGGAGGTTCTAAGGTCCGGCTCGCGAAGACGGCGGAAACACGCGGAACACGGGTCAAGCGATCGCATGCAGTACTAATTCCTGTTGGATCCGGAATTATGGACTCGATCTGCTTTTGTTCTACCGTCTATTATAGAATCCAAGATTTTCCCCTAAAAACCAAGCAACAAAAACATGAAGCTTCCACTCAGCACCTGCCTCTCTTCCAAAGAGATACCCATATACCAGCATATCCCAGCGGTCCGTGACGCCTCGCCTCAGAGCGACTGAGGCGACGGACTCTTCTCGGCCCAAGTAGTCCGCCACACGGGTGCGCGTGTGCTCTCCGCCTCAACCCGGGCGACCGCCGAGAAGGAGCGACCGCTGTGGTTCGGAACCAAAAACAAAGAAAATTCTTAAAATTCATAAAAGTATGTTGTTTAATTTTAGATTGTAATATATTAAAATATATTCTGTTCACTAACTGTTCACTAATTGATAGTTTTATGAGTAAGGTGTGCGTGGTGCACGACAAAGGGCCATGGGAAGAGAAAGCTGGGAAACGACATGACACAACGTCGTTCCTCACAGATCAGCAGCTCCCAGATGGCACAACTCCTTGATATGAAGAGTGTTCTTAAGGTTGGGCTACTCTGAGAAACCAAAACAGGAAGTGGTGCCAGGTACTTAGGTACTTTGATCCTGTTCAGTGCCATCACAGGTTGTTGATTGGATCTGCTCGGAGCGATCTGGGAACCCGAGTGTTTTGAACGTCCGCAGGTCACCGGTGACTTTGCCAGGGCCCTGAGCAAAACTGATGAACAGCACAACAGCAACAAACCTCGAACTCAAACCCACTTGTACGAACTCGAAGGCCGTGCCAAAACCCCGAAAACACATCGTCCACGAGCCGCGTCCACTCAACACGTTTTCGACTCCTTGCCTCTCTTGCGTTCGACTCGAACCTTTCTTTTGATGAGCCAAAGGTTGCCCCATCTCAAACCCTGTTTCGCTGGTGTTCCGCATCAACATGTTAGTTACAGAAGGCAACTACCAAAACGGAGCATGCGGGCTGACTCCTTTTTGTCGGTGATGGGCTGCCTCGTTTCGCGTCGGCAGATCACCCCGAGAGGTGCCAAGGTTCACCTGGCTTTCCTCCCGTCGAGCCAGTGAAGGCAATGGAGTATATATTGCCATGAAAAAATGAATTATTATAAGCTCAAAAGTTCCCCTCTCTCAGATTTTCTTTTTCTCCGCGAGTCATCGCTAGCGGAGTCTTGTGCTCTGGAATTGGGGCCCTGCTTTCATCTGTGAGCAGGGTTGCAGTACCACTGCGCATAGTCCCCTTCTGGCGGATCGCCGGAACTCTCAGGCTTCCACGTTCCCCATCTTTCGTCGTCTTGTACCACAAGGACGGGTTAACTTAACCCTAGGTATATGTTGACCTAACTGACGTTATATTATAGTGTAACTGAGGTTATACATTTGTCTAAAACTGCGTAAGCTGCAGTAAGTGTTCCGCAGCACTTAAGCTTAGATACAGTGCACATGCTCTGTTTGTAAGTGTTTTATATCTTCTGAATCGAGATTTTGCAAAAACAACTTATTCTAACTTACTGCGCACTTAAGCATACTTACAAAACCTTTTTTTTGATGGTTTTTTGGGGTAAAGTCTGTTTTTTTGAGATGTTTTCTTGATTTGTTGAATAGATTTTGCTTTTTTTCTGATAAAAGTTGCTTTTTGAATAGATTTTTTGACTCGGTTCATTTCGATGGCTGTATACATGCACTATCATTGAGTATAATTAATTGTGTCAAAGGAGTTGCGCAGGTCATGTTGGCGGGTTGTCCGCTGTAGGAAATCCCTGCCAAGCAGGGCGTTTGCGACAGACTGAAGGATAAACATTACTCACGCAACAACTCTTTCTGGAAAGAATTGTTGCTTTGTACATAGCAAGCTGTGTACCAGCTATCCTGCCAAGCAGGACGCTTCACAGACATTCGCCACAAAGTTAAGACCAGGGCCTGATCTTTACTTTGCTGACTGTCCATTTGTACATAACAATCTTGCACAGGATCCCTGCCAAGCAGGGTGTGATAACCTCTGTCTTGGAAGGATAAGCTAAAATGGACGGGGTTGGCTGACATCATCTGACATCATTCTGACGACGTGTGTAGTCAGAATGTAGTCGGGCCTGACTTCGTTCTGACGACGTATGTAGTCAGAATGTAGTCGGGCCTGACTTCGTTCTGACGACGTATGTAGTCAGAATGTAGTCGGGTCTGACTTCGTTCTGACGACGTATGTAGTCAGAATGTAGTCGGGGTGGGTTTGCAAATAAAAAAAGATTGACTTCATTCTGACGACGTATGTAGTCAGAATGTAGTCGGGCCTGACTTCGTTC